TTTTTGTCATCTTTTTGAGACAGTGTCTCACTATGCAGTTCAGACTGGCCTTGTGCTCACTTTGTAGCCCAGGCTCATCTTGAACTTGCAACAGTCCTCCTGACTCAGCCTTCAAGTGCTGGGATTACAGGTGTGCATCACCATGCCTGGCTTAATAACACGTTTTGAAGAGGGTGGACATGTAGCTTAGTGATAGAGTGCCCCTGGGTTCAATCCCCAGTATCACAAAAAGAAAAAAGAAAGGAGGAAAGGACCCTTAGTTGCATAACACCGCATGAGCCAAGAGAGCCTCCTGGAGCCCTCGGCCCTGGCCCCCGGGTCCTGTGCATGCGCCCTGTGCAGTGATGAGTGAGTGAGGGCATGAATCAGCACAGACAGCAGCAGCCTGGCATTCAGCGCCCACACTCTGAGCTGCCCAGCTAGACAAGGCTGTGGGTCTGCACACAGGCAGCATCTGACAGCACCTCCTGGGCTTTCCTGTTTCCAGTGCAGCTGCTTCTGGACCACGGAGCCGACCCCAATCAACGCGACGGGCTGGGGAACACACCACTGCACCTGGGTGAGCGCCCGAGGCCACTGGGACCCTCTGCAGCAGCAGCAGGAGCAGCAGATGGGAGCTTGGGGTCCTGCTGGGCAGCATCGGGGCTGATCCTGCGCCCTGGGCCATGCTCCCAGCGCCTGTGTCCCACGGACACTCAGTACCCAGCAGCTGGCCACGCCCTCAGCACTGAGATTTTACAACCAGATGGGCTTCCCAGCAGCTCTTCCAGGAGCCGTGTCTGTGAGGCTGTTCCAGCCTCACTGCTGGCTGACCGTTGGCTGATAGTGAGGCACGCTCCATCTTCAGGCCTCAGTTTCCCCAGCTGTAAAGGGGACTTACTGGTACATTCTCTCAGCTGCTGCCCGGTGACAGAGACCCCTTGGGAGGCATGGGTTGGCCCCAGCACCCTGGGGCACACAGCCCTGCTTCCTCCTCCTGCTGGGCCTGGATTCTTAAGTCCCTGTTCTTTCTCCTCAGCGGCCTGCACCAACCATGTCCCTGTCATCACCACACTGCTTCGAGGAGGTATGAGGCGCCCACCATCCACCCTCCCTGCCCTGCCCCTCATCTGCAGCATGCTCATCTGCCTGTTCTTGCAGGGGCCCGTGTGGACGCCCTGGACCGAGCAGGCCGCACACCCCTGCACCTGGCCAAGTCCAAGCTGAACATCCTGCAGGAGGGCCACTCCCAGTGCCTGGAGGCTGTGCGGCTGGAGGTGAAGCAGGTGAGCAAAGGGCCGGCCAGCACGGGGCAGAAGCCAGGCTCGCCACAGCCATGCTGCATGCCCACGGCCTCCCCGTACATCCTCTTAGCCTGGGTGGCTCAGTGGCCCTCTCCCTGCAGATCATCCATATGCTACGGGAGTACCTGGAGCGCCTAGGGCGGCACGAGCAGCGTGAGCGGCTGGATGACCTCTGTACCCGCCTTCAGATGACCAGCACCAAGGAGCAGGTGAGCCGCCAGCCAGCCCCCAGCTGTGGCCAAGTGTGCCAGCAAAAGAGTCTGCATCTGTGTCCTCCCCTACATCTACAGCTGCAGTGGTCCTGCCCCCTGGTGTCCAGTGTCCCATAGTCAGATGCAGGCCGCTGTGTCTCCTGGGAGTAGGGACGGATGCCTGCATCCCTTGCCTGTGGAGGGGATGACAGAGGGGCCTGGGTGCCCTGGCAGTGGGAACAGAGCCTGGCTTTCGTCCCACAGGTGGATGAAGTGACCGACCTGCTGGCCAGCTTCACCTCGCTCAGCTTGCAGATGCAGAACATGGAGAAGAGGTAGCCGGAAGCCTCCCTGCCTTCCTGCCTGGCCAGCGCCCCACCTGTGTTCCTCATCACAAAGGAAAAGCCCATGTCTGGGACTTTGGGGGACATTTTCCCGATTGCTAGGGAGCAGAGATGTATTCTCCATGACCATGGAGTCGCCCCCAGACACTGTCTCTGTCATTTCTGTGGGCCCAGAGGGACGTGGGTGGCCTCTGCAGCCGCACCCCAGCTGTGGCCCACAGGTTCCACTCATATGTGGCCTCCCTCGCAGGCCCAGGCCTTCTCTGGCTTCCTCTTGGCCGTGAGCTGGTTGCCATGAACTGGCTTAGGATGGGCACCCTCAGCCCAGGGCAGTGCGGACCTCTTGCCTGGCCTGCAATTCTCACCAGCATGTAGATTTAGGCCCATCATGGTGACGCTTCAGTGAGTTTCACTGGTTAGGAGGAGAGGCATGGGGACACTCAGACCTTACCAGGGTTAAGAAGGACCCTGCGGAGGCTGAGGCAGGAAGTCCCAGCCCTTTCCTCCCAGCTGCAGGAGCACCAGGAGGTGGGGCCTCTTGCAGCTTTGACTGCCATGGGCTGATAGCTGCCCACATGTGCCAGTCCTCGTCCAGGACCTGTGACCCTTGGCTCATCTGACAGAAGCTCATGGATAGAACAGGATTCTGGGGCACACGATCCCAAATTACCTAGATGGACCAGATGTCATGACAGATTTTTGTAAGAGAGAAGCTGAGGGTGAGAGCAAGTATGAGGCACGGGTGGAAGCTGCATGCTGGCAGGGAAGGCACAGACAGTTGTGGAGGAGGTCCTGGGCAGCTGCCCTCCACATGCCAGGGGCAAGGAGAGGGCTTTGCTGAAAGTCAGGAGGCACGGACACTGACGACGATGCAGACGTGCGCTCAGTGAGACCAATTTCAGCTCCAAGCCTCTAGAACTGTTCGAATAAATCTATTGTGCAGCCACTTTGTGATTTGCTTCAGCAGCAGCAGCAGCAGGAAATTAACAAAGCAGCTCAAGGTCGCCACAGAAAATGTTGTGGTCCTGTGGGCTGCCCTGGCCCAGGCCCAGGCCCAGAAGCACCTACCTTGGCAGGGCTGTGCCTGGCCCGCCCCTCCCGGGACACTGTGACTACAGACTTTAGAGGCTCACTCAGTGTCCTCTGTGTGCCCTGCCCCTTTCCCGCTCTCTAGTTGGGAAGCCCTGGCTTGTTCCAGAGGAGAGTTTGTCCCCGGGTCCCAGTTTGGTACACTTCAGGTTTTAAGTAACCTGGAGCCTCAAGTTCTGGAGGAAAACACGTATAAGATTACAAGCCCAAGGACTGGGGATGTAGCTCAAAAGCACAGCACCTGCCTGGCAAGCGTGAGGTCCTGAGTTCAACTCTCAGTTTAAAAAAAAAAAAAAGATACTAACCCAGAACTGGGGAGATAGCTCAAGAGCATAAAGGCCTACCTGGCAAGCCTAAGGTTCTGGGTTCAATCCCCAGTACCGCAAAAAAAAAAAAATTTACTAGCCCAGGGAGGCATGGTGGTATACATCTGTAATCCCTACATGGAGGAGGGCTACTTAGTTCAAGTCCAGTCTGAACTACATAGTGAGACCCTCTGTTAACAAAACAGGG